ATACATACATAACTACATACATAACTACCTACCTACCTACCTACCTACCTACCTACCTACCAACATACATACATAACTACTTACCTACCTTCCTACCTACCTACCTACCTACCTACCTACCTACCTACCTACCTACCTACATACATACATACATACATACATACATACATACATACATACATACATACATACATACATACATACATACATACATACATACATACATGTTAAATACCGGAAAACGGGAACATGGTTCCTTGGAAATATTGGAAGAGCAAAACAATAAAGTAATCTGATCCCGTCCTAAGGAAAGGTGCTGAGTACCATGTATATATCTGTGTGTGTATGTTCGTGTGTGTGTTTGTGTGTGTGTGTGTGTGTTCAAAATTAAGCGATTACAATGATGCTGAATGATTCCATTTTTATGAAAACGGCAGAATTTTAATAATTTGGGAATGGACCCGCAAGTTCTATATATTGCAGTATAATTGAGATATGACCGCATGTTCTATATATTTCAGTGCGACTGAGATATGACTGCATGTTCTATATATTACATCATGACAGATCAGATATGACCACATGTTCTACATATTACAGTATGACAGATCAGATATGACCAGATGTTCTACATATTACAGTATGACAGATCAGATATGACCACATGTTACAGTATGACAGATCAGATATGACCACATGTTCTACATATTACAGCATCAATGAGATTTGAAAAAATAACGAACGTTACTAATGGTATAGTCCTGAATTACCGGGTAAATAAAATAATAATTAATGAATTAAAGTATGGGTTATTTTGTGGACTTTTTTGTGGGGACTTTTTGTTGGGCTTGGTCAGTTCGATTACTGCATGATCAGAATTAGATACACGAACAAGTTCTGGTTGGTTTTGAAAGCTGTATTTCCAATAGCTAATTCAAACGTGACCAGAACTAGACCTCTACGCGATCGTGGTCAAATCTTCACGTTGGACAGTGGAGATGATTTTAATCAGACTGTTGGTAAGATTAAGGAAAACCCTCAAAGAAGAAGCGTAACACATTGTTGTTGTTGCTGGTGGGCTTAACGCCATTTTCAGCACATGATAGGCTATTCATGGCGGCCAGTATTAATGGTGGAGGAAGAAACCGGGAAATCACCGGAAAGAACCACCGGCCAACGAGAAGCTACTGGCAAGCTTTCTCACATATCCACATTCACCGAATCCTAGACTCGAACCCACGCAGACAGAGGTGAGATGGCAGTGAGCCGTAACGGACAGCGCTTTAGACCACTTGGCCACTCGGGGCCCCTATAGCGTAACACATGTTTTGCTATAATCTTATATATGAATTATTAGTAAATGTTCATTTTCTACTCCGTTAATCTTACCTTGTCAGAATTGTGCAGTATTGTACGAAATCGAACTTTTATATCGGATGCACTTGTACGACACGTGTGGACAAAAGGAGAGTATTATGAACTATTTTGTAGGCAAATCATGTACACTCATGTAGCAGATGTTTTACGTTTCTGTTGATTAAATTTCTTTCTAAATGAACTAAATAATCTGTTTCGTGGACTGCCACATACCAGCTGCTTTGCAATATTCGAGTTAATTTTTTTTTTTGCAATAATGTTTCAGATTTAGGATAGCGATAGACACCATACAGGATATAGCATTGCTGACGTCTCTGCAAAGAGCATGCAAGTGAAAAAAGCATAAACGTCTCGTTTTAGCTAGTAATAAGAATGGTAAAAAATACACTTACAGTTTTACATCCTGGATTTTCTCGCAATGTACGCTCTAGTTATGCAAATCCGAATTACATGAGCAATGTCATGGTTTCAAAAACTTGATTACACGTTTCTTAATTCTAATATAGGATTGACTACATTCCAAGTGCAATAACACCCTCATTACTGCACTCAAAATGAAATAAACATTATTGTCATTAGTGTCTTTTTGATAATTACAATCGAAAGAGTTCATATATTTCCCACATTATGTATCCAACCATTCAGTGACAGAACAGGAACACACCTGCAAATGAGTCAAGACTCCTCCCTCGCTACTCAAATGGGATGGACTTCATGAAGAATTGTTACAAATAAATCCAGTCAACATTCACGAAATTTAGTAGAATTGACAAAAATACCAAAATTCCATTCATTCCAGACCAAATGTAAAAGATGCCGTAATGCTCGTTCATTTACTATATGACTTTAAATTTAATTTTAATTAGACCCAAATAATATTTTCTTTGGAAGGTGATGTCGAGCGCCGACTAAGTTAAAATTTCGCTGGTCGGATTCATGTTCGCATTAATAATGTTGTTGTGTACTGATGATTCTGCGCTTGTGTATTTAGTGTGGAATACAGCACAAATTTAATTACTTTGTTTCTTATAGTGTATTTTTAAAAATAGTATCAAGCCTTAAGTAGAATAAGAAAAAGAGTATATCATAAAAAGGTGACTGCATTTGTATGGGAGAAGATGAACTGGTTTTGTCGGATGGATATATTGCTCTCCTAAGGTCGTGAATTATCAATCATAAAAACTCGTTTATATTTTCCCACACAAATGCAGTATAATAGTAATTGCTATGTAAATCATGTATAAATCTGCTAATTAATTAGCTAATATTTTTTCACTAGCCTGTTCCATAGCCTAAAAAATAAGATGGTTTTGTTGGATGCTTCAACCCTGAGCATACAAATTAACTGGATCAATTATAAATATTACCAAAAATCAGTATAACGTATTGCATGAATAAAACGTCATTAAATAAAGCTCTCCCGTGGGTAAAGAGATCATGCGTAAATAATCCCCTACAACAATTAATATATCGGACAGAAAATAAATGTCGCCATAATATCGACACTTCGCTGGTAAATTTTTATCAGTAATTCATCGAAACATATTAGAAATAACTATGCATATTAACAGTAAAATGGCCATCGTTGTTTTACGTTAGAGTACTACTTAAATTACTTACTCCAGACATTTTTCATTGATGAATAACCTCAACATCAAATTGCTGTAAGTAGGTATAAACGAACAAAGGGAGGATGACCAATTTCAGCCTTTTAATGTGACTCACTCAAAAGGAATTTACATCATGAGAAGAATTTAATTTTTTCACGGATGAAAAACATTTCAACATTTTTTTTAGATTCATATTTTTAAAAAATACATTGCCTGGATGTCTAGAATGATACCAGCTTTTGAGAAACGAAATAATAAAATTGACTGATCAACTTTTTGCAGATAAACCTATGACAAGTTTCTTATTGTTGTTCTCTTTCTTGTGTAAAGTGTCTAAGTCTAGTGAAATTAATGTAGCAACACACCAAGTTGCCGATAAGAGGGATTTCTCGGCTTGAATCACGCTGGTCTTCTTTTAACGGGCAATGGAAATTCTTTAAGGAGGCAGGGTACAGTTTCGTAATTTGGCCTCTGGCAAATTTCTTAACTTAAGGCTATGGTGTGACTTTTTCAGCAATTATTGTCTACTAATTAAAGATATGGATATATTTGTGAACTAGGTGTTTCGGGCTTGTGTTATTCTTGAAAATGATGTCAGGCATGTACACCTTCCATAGTTACTCTGCAATATGTTGATAGTGAAATACCAATAGTTGTCTAGGAAGAAGAGCTAGCCTCTCATAACAGTAAACATGTGGGTTTGGGACAAGAAGCATATCTCTAAAACGGCTTGGATGACAACTATTTTCAGCTGCATCAGCCTCTTTAGTACACACTGTTTGGCAGAATTGTAATCTAGGAAAATGGCTTGTGTTTGCACTGTGAGTACCACATGGTGTCAAAAATAACCTTCGGGCATGAAAATTGCAGGTATAAATTTGGGGTTGGGGTGCATAAACTTTTTCTGCTATAAACTGCCACTGACCTCTCTGGTCAAGTGGATAACATTTTTATGCTTTGTTTTAATATAGGTATCTCAAAATACGGACATTCGTGACCTCACTTGTGTATTTGATTCTTTATGATTTTTTTTTGTACTAGGTCACTGATTGCGACATTAAATTTGTACATAAAAACTGGCCCCTGCCCCCTAATTCTCAACAAACTTTGGCTGATAATACAATAAATATGCTTATATGTAGTTTCAGAAAAGTACTTAATTATAATGACTGCTTGAAATATTTTGATATTTATATTGTCAAAGTGTAGAAATACGCATCAGCTATATGGTGTTTTCACCAAGCTGACGCCAACAAACTTGTACAAGGAAGGTTTCTATATCTATCTCTGACGTCTGTTCATACTGTGAACTTTTGTGATATATTTAAGGCCGGTAAAGTTAGCTAAATATTGGATTAGAATTAAAACGTCTGCAAATGTTATTGTGACTATGGTAAAAAGGTAATTATAAGTTGAAAAGGAATACAATACTAATATCAACAGGGGTACACTCCTAAAATAGACTTTAAACATAATTAGTTTTGTAAGGTGTGGTTGTTTCTTGATTCAATTGCTCAAAAGGTCTTCCAATTTTTAAACAAAGAGTTACAGGTGCTCTTCTTTCGGACTTAAATAGCAAATCACAAATTTCTAATAAAACATCTATATATATATAAAAATATAAAAACTGACTTCGGATTCGAAGATTATTTTTAATACTTGCATAACCATACACATCGATCAGCTTTTAAAATACTCCGGGTGTTTTCCCATCATCTGAGACTCGAAACTGGGAGATATGGAAGCAATAGAATGGACAGAAGTGAACGATATTTTATTTTATGTGCCAACTATGACATTAATAATTAATTCCAATTTTTTAAATTTTGGTATGTCCTACTAGCCTGCGTACAAACCTTAGATGAAAGTACTTATGAAATAAACCACCCACGCACAAATAAATTGAATTGTTCATTTCTAGAACAAAAAAAAATAATATGTTCACCAGCGAAATTTGTTTATGAAGCGTTTAAAATAAGAGACATTAATATTTCTAGAGTAATGTGTTGCAAAGATTATACAGCTCCGGTGATCTATTAGTTAGAGCGTCCGCCTCGGATGCAGGAGGTCGTGGGTTCGAGCCCCAGCCGAATCATGCCCCAGTGCTAGATATCATTATAAGCTTCCATACTGCAGACACCGTAGCGATACGACTGAAAAATTGTTCAAGCTACGTGAAAAATCCATATCAACAAACACACACACACACGAGCGAAGGCATACACAGATTGTATATATTTGTCCTTCCTGTCTTCTCCATCTCTTGATGATCACCGTTTTGAATTTTCTATTTAAGGTTGCACTTATAGCATTTGATACCCACGTAATATTTAATAATATATTTGCATAATTTATTCTAAAAACATGTAAACATGTAAATGTTTATGGTAATAAACTACTAAACTACTGAATGAAGAAAAATATTATCCGCCGTTTTGGAACAGTATATTTTGGATCAATGCTTTTTCTTTTATCTCGAAAACTTTTTAAGTATTCAAAACATCTGCAACATCCTCACAATATCTGCAAAAATAGACATCATTGTATAGGTATGTGATCTGAAAAGCCAAAGGCAGAAAGTTATCTGCTGAAAACAGAAATATGTAATTATGCTGCGGAAACTAAAATCACAAAACTCCTTACCAGTTAAAGCTCAAACTTGTGAATTTTCCGACTCACACACACACGAGATAGGGACAATTCCAACTGAAGAACAGTACATGTATTATATGTTCGTTTCTGTTACGTTCAATGAGCTGGGCGTTTTATTGACCATTGACCTCAATTTTAATCTGCTCCTTATCCTGCCCCTAGTAAGGTGTTAGAGAGGCGTGTACTTAAGTAAGAATGCAAGCGAGAAAGTGTGGTAATAAGGAAGGAAAGAAGGAAGGAAGAATGGACAAAGAAAAATATGTCATTAAATTAGTAAATGTATAAATCTGTAACGAAGTAACTTAGTGCATAAAAGTATATGCCTATAAGTAAGTGGGGAGAGAGAGAGAGAAAAAGAAAGAGAGAGAGAGAGAGAGAGAGAGAGAGAGAGAGAGAGAGAGAGAGAGAGAGAGAGAGAGAGAGAGTTGAAGCAGACGACATTTGAACAACGACAATAACAAAGAAAAATAAGAAACAATTGAAAGGACAACAGCATATAACCAGGAACGGCCTTAGCAAAGGCATGGCCCGATTTCAAACCTTTGTGGAGGGGCTCCCTGAATTTACGCACGAGGTTTCCTGTGAGCATTTGAAAATAAATTTTTAAACAAGTTTGATATGATTTTGAACTTAACATTTTTCTTCCATTTCTTTAAAATTACTATCTCTCCATATATATATATATATATATATATATATATATATATATATATATATATATATATATATATATATATATATATATATATATTACTAACAAGGCCAAATCGGTCCAATCGGCCTATAAAGCAGACTCTACATGTAACGTTTAACTTAAAATATGTATCGGAAATAACTCTGTAACTTTAATGTCAAGAAAAGAATTTTGATTGCATTGTATATCCAAAATATACTTAAGATACCACGGAAAGAAATACCTGGCCGGACTGGAACACTAAACTTTGAGCTCCTTCGTTCTACATTGGTGATCTGTTATCTGGACTACCTTATATTAGTATGAAGGGCAATTTCCCAAATTTTATTTTGAAGACACGTCCCTATTTTCCCATTTATTAACAACGTATACTATATCTTCGGGAAAAACGTGCTACTATCTGCATCCAATGCCCGAAGAGTTATTCAAGCTGCAAAATTTGCCGCGCCAGGAGTATGTGCCGCAGAAATGTGCTGCAATACTATCACGTGATACGACTCTTATCTTCATGGGACGACATGTGTGCAGTGGGATAATCTGGGTCAAGTGCAGTGAATTTGCATTGTGTTCTAAATGAACACCTCAAATGATAGTGTCACTGTTATAAATCGACATTTCTCTGACAAATATTTTGTCTGAGAAAAGATAATTTATGTATCTGAGGCACAAAGTTCAAATCCAGTTATAAAATATAAACAATAATTCTCTCTCTCTCTCTCTCTCTCTCTCTCTCTCTCTCTCTCTCTCTCTCTCTCTCTCTCTCTCTCTCTCTCTCTCTCTCTCTCTCTCTCTTCAAATTATATGGATAGCTACGGTAGCTGGTTTGTTTGGAAGTTGCACTTGTATCCAAGATCACTGGTTCGATAACCGTCAATGTCAGCCCGGACTGGCTGCCTCGGTTTGACATTGAAAAAGAACCTAACTCATCTAGCTCTTATTTTCTCGGCGTGATATAGTCATTAATGTGTCAAAAGTGCCGTTCAAAGCAACCCTAACAACAAAATAAGAAACTGCTGACTGTCGGGCGGATCTTCAAAATTTGGCAGATAATAATTTCGTTGTTCTGTCAACCCTCCCCAATGCTGATGTTAGAGATCGCGAAAGGCACTAAAAGTCTTTTTTAAAAAGTCTCACATGGCGTTTCTGGGTCAAAATTATAAAATATCTTGTTATTGCTTGTTGGCTGCTGACTCTTTCTCAAATCAGTTATGTTTGATAGTGCAACGTAATTTCGACTTTATTGAAAGTATATATGGAAATTCATTTCTTACCAATCCATTTCTTACATAATTCAGGGATAAATCAAACTTTTACAAGAATAAAACTAAGAGAAAAATTAAATTTTGCGAAGAGAGTACGTGTTAATAATGAATAATAGCTAAAGATGAGAAGGAGTCAGAACCAGAACAGAAAATTCCACAACACAGCACTCGTATGGTACAATGAATAACAATACATTTGAAAATATTTTAGTGCAATGATTCCTTTTTTATTTGACTGTACTTAGAATTTCACCACCAACTTATTGTTACAATATCCATATATATATATATATATATATATATATATATATATATATATATATATATATATATATATATATATATATATATATATATATATATATATATATATATATATATATATATATATATATATATATATATATATATATATATATATATATATATAAAGTGAAGCCAATCTAATTACAACCCAGACTTTCTTATTCACATCCCTTACCTGAAGCAAAACATATTAGCAATGCCATCATCATATTTAAATGGTCAGTTCGAAATCGTATAGTACGATGAACTGAGCTTACGACCCCCCACCCCCCGCTATGTAACATTCGCTAGCTGTCCGTTCAATCCAAAACAAACAAAAAATCTATTCAAAATGCCTAATTTCGAGTATTTGACTTTTAAGGTCCTGTTCAGACTAGCGCGATAATAGCCACGTAATAAACATCTGTTCAGTGACAGATGAAACTTTACCAAGGCTATTCCATTAGAGCATAACATCTTTAAAGAAAATATTTTAATCAGGTTGAAATCGCCTGCTAGGACCTTTCTAACAGAGTTTGTTTATTTCTGCATTCAACCGTGAATTTTGTGATTTTCACAAACCGGCAGTCCAGTTCGATAACAGACGTCACTGTCAAATTTCGATAGTCACCTAGTTTCGGTTTGCAATAAACACTGATTTATCCCCGGTTTCTCCATCGTTTCCATACACGCAAACAGATATGGGTGTGAATGGTTGAAGCTTGTTCCAGATTGTAACAGGTACTGTAATGGGTGACACATAATATCGAATAGAAACAGGTGATATAACATTAGACAATGACAATTCCAATGGAATTTCATATGGCAAATATTGATAATTCCCACATTTAATATGGAAAAATACTGATAATTCCATTATTTCATGTGTTAAAGTATTGATAACTCCCATATGTCATTTGAAAAATATTGATAATCCTATGTTTCACGTGGAAAAATATTGATAATTCCCACGATATATGTGGAAGACTTTTAATAATTATCAGGACTCATTGTGAAAAAATAATTGAAGGAGGCCAATGCTTGAACCCAATTTGTTATCTGGGGTTTAATTTTCACGCAATTGGAATATCTCCCATCCCATCCTTTTCCTGGCTGCACACTTCTATCGCTTGATGGATTTTATATGATTTGTTATGAGAGAGAGAGAGAGAGAGAGAGAGAGAGAGAGAGAGAGAGAGAGAGAGAGAGAGAGAGAGAGAGAGAGAGAGAGAGAGAGAGAGAGATATTTTCTCAAATACATTTCAATATTAAAATATGATATAACTTACCGTGGTTACCGTGCGATAAAAGCGATAATACTTAGCAAGAGGATCTCTTCCTGCTTCCTGTAAAAAAATATTTGTATCTTGCAAAAATATAAAGTTTTCTATACTCCCTACCACATAGTCGGCTTGCAAGTAATTTTGAATGTAACACGTGCGAGTATATCCTGGTCTTTGTCAATACCAACTAGTCTAATTCCATATCCGTAGTACGACTCGCATTCTATCAACAATTCACTGGCGGATAAAAGGAAGTAAAACACTTTCCATACACCAATATTAATGTCGGAATGAAGTACTTATGTCATATACCGAAGCCAATCTATTACTTGGGACTATTATTATTAACGACGATAATAGTGAGCAATTTAAGAATAAGAGTTAGGCCTATACATTAGAAAAGACATTGTCTACTTCACGCATGCCTACAGGCCGTGTTTCATGCAAGGAACAGTAATATGATCTTGATCGCCGATTGTGCGCTTTATTGTGAACTTGTTTTGAGGAAGATAACTCGAAATCGAGATCGAGCTAACAAAGGTTACTCGTGCGACTGACACGAAGTCATCATATGATGGACAGCAATCTTCTACGGATAAAGGAGCCTACCAGCTTGACGCCCGTGAGTTACAATGATGTTACAATATTTCCGACTGAAATGTCACACCGTCATTTCCTTTGAGAAATAACTGTAGTTGTAGAAATACGTGTGCATTTGTTGGGTGTGGTGGTTCACATCCAGCAGAGTTCATGACATATGTTGCGACAGACATAGCTGAAAATGTTTCGAAATACGTTATCTCCTTCCGCCACCATATTGTGCCATTTGAACCAAAGTTTCCTCGAATATCGTTTTCAATTAAGGCGAAAGACATTTGAAGTTTCTTTCTCGACTTAAGGAAAAGGCCGGGAATATACC